GCTGTCCTCCCTCACAGCTGTAAGACGCTGTCCTCCCCCCAGCTGTAAGACGCTGTCCTCCCTCACAGCTGTAAGACGCTGTCCTCCCCCCAGCTGTAAGACGCTGTCCTCCCCCCAGCTGTAAGACGCTGTCCTCCCCCCAGCTGTAAGACGCTGTCCTCCCTCACAGCTGTAGGACGCTGTCCTCCCCCCCAGCTGTAAGACGTTGTCTCCCTCACAGCTGTAGGACGCTGTCTCCCTCAGTGTTGCAGAAGTGTGCGGCTCCATCGTCTTCTCCACTTGCACTGAGTGTCTTCCATCTATGGATGTCCAGTGTCATCACATTAGGAAAATGTCCGGCATTTATTTCTCCCAGAAGTTTCTCTGCCACTCTCTTATTTCCCATGTGTGAGATTGCCAGAAATCGTCCTACTGTGTGCAGAGTCCCTCCCTCCTCCTCTTTTTCTTTTTCTCCCCCACTGTGTTCAATTTTTTTTTTTTTTTTGGATGACTTCTCTAGCTAATTTTTAGGCTCATAAATCTTTCCTTCTGCATCAGTTAATTCATTGTGGACACATCCAGTGTACTTTTTACCTCACTCATTGTTTACAGAATCTCTCCGTATTTTCCTAGCTGGCCTGGAACTCAGTATGTACATTAGGCTGGCCTTGATCTTGCAGCAGATCCTCCTGCCTCCATCTCTTGAGTGCTAAGATTGCAGACGGGAGCCACCATGCCCAACAGCATGGTAGTTTTCATCTCTTGTTCTTTTCTTACCTCCTGTGTCTCTACTTCACTGATGAGCAGAAGAACACAGTTACAGTACCTGGTCCCCCACTGCTGTAAGTGCTGGGATTACAGCCTGGATTGTAATAAATTTGTCCCTGATTGTTAATTCCAGCACCCGGGTCATTTGCAACTAATTTATTTTTTTTCTCCTCATTATACACCATACTTTTTCTGCATTCTTTGCATGCCTGGTAATCTTTGAGTGAATGCCAGATATTATAAATTTTACTTTATTGGATGCCAGATATTTTTGTATTCCTATAAATATTCCTGAGCTTTTGTTCTGAAGCAGAGTTAATTTATATGGAAAAGGCTTAATCCTCTTGGCCTTGTTTTCATGGTTTCTCTAACAGGTCTGAAGGAGAAAGCACTATCTGGTACCAGCTTGTCCCCCAGGGTTGAAGCACCCACCTAACCAGTCTCCTGTGACTTCTGAGTCTCACTGTCTAGGCTCGTAAGGACAGGCCATCCCCAGCCTTGTGAGCTTTAGTTTTCTTTAGTTCTTTCTTAGCCTCATGGAGACTTCTTGCTTGTATGTCTCTCAACACTGTGCTGAGAGCATTTGCTGGGAAGCACCAGGGGTCTGAGCTGACCTTCTCCACTGCCACCTCAAGTCAGAGCTCACTGGGGGTCTGCCACTTTGTCTGAGTTTTTCCCTCAGTCTGTAGAACTCGGCTACTTCCTAAGTCCCCTGTCAGGCTGGCGACTCATCTCAGAGCTCTGTTTCAGGCCTGGGAGCTCAAGGCTGTCACTCTGTCCCATCACAGCCCTGCCCATCACTCGCACAGACATCTTGTCTTATCCACAACACTCAAGGTGTTCTACATATTAGCCAGCCCTTCTCCTCACCGGGCCTCCAGATGTGGCCACGTGTCTAGCTTTATTACCGCTGCCTGCCCCAGAAGGGTCCAGGGGATCTGTGCTCTGTGGTTCAGACAAGACTGCTGCCTGCAGAGCACCAGGCCCATCAGCATATGTGTCCATTCATAAAATACTTCCTATGTGTCAGTTGTGTCAGTTATTTTAGCGACTAGGGAGGTGGGTGGTTGAGGCTGAGCCTACAACCCATGGTCAAGCTGGTAGCTGAGCAGAATGAGCAACTTACCCATCTAGGGCAAGTTGTAGCATGTTGACCCACAAGATGGTGAGGAGGAGACCCTCCCCGAGTATGAAGGCAACTGGCCAGTGCAGGATAGCCTTCAGGGAGATGAGGTCCAGAGCTGAAGAGTTGGTGTCAGGATTCAAGGTGAAGGAGCAGAGGTATAAAGTGAAAGAGGGAACCTAGAGGTGTCAAGGCCGGCAGGAAGGAGACTTCTGCCAGGCATTCATCCAAGGACATCGAAACAGGGACCTTCCAAGTGACTAGCCAAAGGTGGGATGTAGCCACAATCAGTTATGAGTGGGGCAGCCCAGATGCCCTTCACCTTAAGCCCATCTTGGGTAGACCCCAGATCCTCCCACCCCAACCTGGATCCTTCATTCCTCACACTGCATTAAGGGTGCTTCTCTTGATTTCTTCCTCTGGAAGGTGAGAGTGGCCGGATCCTGAAGATCTCAGCAGGTGTCAGATACGTGCAGCTCCCAGAATACTCTGAGGTCAGCTTTTTCAAGATGGATGAAGATCACATGGAGGAGCCCATCGAGACACCATTGTAAGGATGATACGTCCTCCCTAGGGGCACCTCTGAGGAGATTGGACTAGGAGGATGTCCCCATGGCTCCCTTGCCCATTCTTTCCCACATACTATAACTGGGCCAGGCCTGGACGCATTGCCAACCAGCGAGACTTTGGAAGGTAGAAACAAAAGTGGGTGAGTTGACAGGGAGTGGAGGCCTGGAGGGAGCCACGTGCCTAATGATCACCAGACACAGGGAGCAGGAAGGGACCGACTGGCTGGTTGTTCTTTGGCCTTAGTTGGCCCAGCTCAGCAAGCATTTCAGGGTGACCCACACAACACTCCGAGTATGACTAAATAGTGCTCCTTGACAAGTTCCAGGATCAGGGTCAGGGCCAGGACATATGCAGAGTGTGGGCTGCCTCAGTTGCCCCTGCCCCCCACACCTGCCCCAGGCCCTGACCCCTACCCCTTTGTTCCCCAGCCTGCTCTCTTGACCCACACTGGTATTTGTGGTCTCTTTCCTAGTGGATTCCAGTGTATTCCCTATCCTCTGTCCATCCCCACGTCCTGGGAACTGGAGCCTGGTTCCCCTGAGGAAAATGGCAGAGCCGACATACTACTCTCCAAGAGAGACTCAGAGCTGGAGCAGGACTCAGAAGCCTTCCATGTCGAGGGAGACACCCCCAGCATCCTGCCAGGTGAGTGGGCCATATCAGCAGTGTGCAAAGTAACAGTGCTTAGGACCTGAGTGGGAAGGTGACGGGGCACAGTGGACCTGGGAGAAACATGAAGCTCAGGGAACTGGACCCAGGCCGGAGCAGCTGTCAGCAGAGAGAAAATATAACCTTTCCAAGGCCCACAGGGAGATGGGGCTTCCTACCCTGGGTGATCATGCAGCCTACATCTATCTTGACCACACAAACCCAGCAGCTGTGGAAGACAAATGGTCCCGGGCTGGCCAAAGCTGTAGGATCCAACCTGAACTGAGCAAGACCAACGGTCTGTGGGTCCATGGCCCTACTTGTCACAAGCTTCTTGGCCATTTCACTGCACACTTCACAAAGATGTGGTCCCAACTTCCAGGCCAAGCAGGTGGAGCTGCACCCTGAAAGAATTCAAAGCCAGATTTATTTTGAGTCATTTGAGAGTTATTCATGCAGTTCAAGTTCAAATCACTGCAGTTTGCAGTTTGTTGTGCCTGGCAGTACTAAGTTATCTTATACTTTGATACATCATAAATACTCAGCTTGCATCTTTTTTTTTTTTTTCTTGGTTTTGGTTTTTTTTTTTTTTTTTTTTTTTTTTTTTTGAGACAGGGTCTCTCTACACAGCTCTGACTGTCCTAGGACTCACTATGTAGACCAGGCTGGCCTCGAATTCACAGAGATCTGCCTGCTTCTGCTTGAGTGCTGGGATTAAAGGTGTGGGCCACCATACCTGGATCAGCTTGCCATATCTTAATATGGCAACAGGTGTAACCTTAGTAGTGTGTGGCATTAATGCAGGCATCTGATTGGGGGTGGGCTCTGGAGACCAGCAGGAGAGTGCAGTGCCACTAGGGATCATGTGGTCTCATGGATCTTCTTGTGGCCTCCTTGCTGTGGACCGGCATCTCCGTTCATCTGAACTCTTAACAGGAGCGAGAAGTTCAGTAAGAAGGTGCCTTCCAGGCAAAATCACACACCTTATGTTTAGGACCCTTTGAGGGCTCCCTGGCTTGGGATTGACAGCCGGGATCCCCAGCCCCCAGGACTGGGATCCTAGCTCTCTGGTTGCCAGGCACAGAGTACAGGCTCTGGGTCAGTGGTTCTCGACCTTCCTAACCCTGTCATCCTTAAACAGTACAGTTCCTCATGGTGTGGTGACCCCTAACCAAAAGTTACTTTTTTTTTTTTCAGAAGTTACTTTTGATGCTACTTCATAACTGTAATTTTGTTACTATTATGAGTGGTAATATAAATAACTGATATGAAGAACATCTGTTATGTTTCACAGGGACTCTTGTGAAAGGGTCTTTATACCTTCAGGGGTCATGACCCATAGGTTGAGAACCCCTGCTCTAGGTGATTAGAAAGGCAAAGCAGAGTTAAACAGAAAACTGTAGCACATCCCAGACCTGAAACCAAGGGCAGATGTGGCATGGGGCTGAGAGTCCCATAGCTCTCCACAACTTGTATGTAAGCCTGGACTAGTTAGTGGTGTTGGTTAGTTGGTTTGTTAGTTGATTTTTGAGAGGGGGTCTTGCTGTGTCTCTCACACAGCTGTCTTCCTCCTGACTCAGCTTTTCTAATGCTGGGACTACAGATATATGCTACCATTCCTGGCAAAAGCTAAGGTTTGACAGGACTTTTCTGATCGTCACAAGTATGCTCAGACATGTCTGTCCTTCCTGCCTGTTGCTTCACCATGGCTGCCAGTGGGAGCTAGAGTCCTACCTTGACCCCCTTTGTCCTTGCAAACCACAAACAGCCCTAAGTAGAGTCCCTCTCTTTGTGGCTAATACATAGATGAGGTCACCAGGTGGCTGTCTAGTCAGGTGAATACCCTGAAGTTTCCATTCAGGCATATCCCCCACCTCTGACACGACCCCCTCACAGAGCCCTCTTACCGGCCCCCAACAAACCCCTCCCTCCCTCCCTGGCTCCTCTTTTCTTCAGATGGCCCAGCCCCTCCACAGGCTGGAGCTTCCTATACCCTGACTCTGCCCCTTTGGCCCATCCTGGCTATACAGCCTATGGCCTCTAACATGTCTCACTCATCCTCTTGCCTGGTCTCCCCTGACTCCAGCTCAAGCTCTTCACAGGCTGTCCTACCTGATGGTGGTGTCTAAGCGCTCCTGAGCTTCCTAAGGTTCATCCTGAGCCTTCTGAGGCCCTGTGTGGCCCCAGGACTCTCAAAGGCCCCCCTGGCTTGTTCTCTCTGTAGTTGTGCTAGCCACATGACAGAAGAAAGGCAGAAGACAGTGGTAAGGGGGCAGTTCAAAGTCTCAGTAGCACAGATCTTTGGGGTATGCCCCCCCAAGACTCCCCAGAAATCCTGCCAGTAGGTGGCCAGAGGCTTCCAGAGTGATAGGCCTGTCTTTGCTAGGGCAACAACATTTCTGACAAAAAAGAGGACCGTCCAAACAGCCATCTTGAGGCAAGCAGCAAAGGCTGAAGGTCCTCCCATATAAACACAAAGGCTGGGAGGGTGGGGCTCATATTCTTTCCTTATGGGCAAGCTGTAGTCTCCAGAGGAGAACCAGACCCTGTATACCCGTGAGCAGAAGCCTGCTTGACCTGGCCTGGGGGTCAGCACAGCCACAGGACCCCGGGAGCCAGCCTGGTCCATCTCCCCCTTTGTCTGACTCCACCTCAGTTACAGGAGCAATTTCCTGCTGCATCAGCAGAATAGTTCTCATGTTTCTGCATAAAAATACTCACTGGGCGCCACGCCTTCCGCTCTGAGAGACTTTCAGAGCCAAGTGCTGCAGTCTCAATGAAAACCAGGCCCCAGAATTCAGCTTGCCCTGTGCTGCCAGAAAGTGTCTGCCCTGTCTCCTGCAGACAGCTCCATGGTGCGGCTCAGAGTATGATCTTGTGGTGAATTATAGGATAGCCGAGAAGCAGTCATCCAGGGTCCCCAGTGGTTAACACAGGAGCCAGGCCCAGGTCCTTTCTGGGACCTGTGAGATCTGTGTCACCTCAGGGTCTCAGGCACTTAGGAAGTCACAAGGTGCATGGCTCTCCTTTCAGAAGATCCACAAGGCTTTGAATCTGACACTTGAAGTCTAATACTGACCTTGGTCATTCTAGGTAAACACTCTACCACTGAGCTACATCCCTGGTCATTGTTCCCTGTTGGGAGCTCCTCAAGGGCTGGCCAGCACCTCTGGACCCAACTGTGAGAGCCTAGACTGCCATTTCTCTGTTGTTTCTAAAGGACTTGTGCTCATTCCATAAAATGGGATCAGCAACCCCCACCTCCCAGAGCTGGCAGGCCACATGCTTAACCACCCTCACCCCATCCTCCTCCCTGTGCAGGAGGTCAAGGTGAGGGTGGACCCACTTAAATCCAGACTGAACCAAGGTGGCAGACCAAGGGTCAGAGAAATGGATTACTGCCTATTTCTACTTTTCTTAAAACTTACTTGCCCAAGAGTCTGATGGAATGGGTAAGCCTTTGCTCTGTCTGCCCATCTGTCTCAGCAGGTGGGCTGGAGGGCCCAGGAGTGGCCCCTGGGTAGGCAGTTTCAGGCCCTTGGACCCCACTGGGAGCTGGGATGTTCACTGAACAAGAGACACCTGAATTCCCTTCCTTCTCCAGGAGTTCCCTGAGCTCCCAGGGCTCCAGTACCAAGGGCTGGCACCTGTCTCTTAGCACTGCTTCCAGCTGAGGTGACTCTCTCTTCTGCCGCCATTCCGTGCCTGTGTTGTAAAACCTAAATCCCCGCAGGAAGTGCAGAGGCCCAAGCCAAGAGGAAAAGCAGCAGCCCAGGAGACAAGGTGACCCCTTTTCACCAGCCAGTGGGGGATAAAGCTGAACACACCCTTCTCCCTTGTTTCTGGAGTCTTACCCTTGTCTTCTGTGATCACATGTAGGACAGTACATTATTGTACTACTAATTTTCAAACTATGATCCAGTTAAACTCGTTTTCCTTCTATCAAAGTTACTTTCTTCTGTTAGTCTGCCTTGTACCCAGTGACAAAGACACCTGGCTCCTCTGCTCCAGGGATCCCCCGAAGAAATTGCAGGGTCCCCACCCAGCACCTCCAGTTTCCTACTCTGGGCCTTTGCAGGATGGAGGGGCCCTAGGCCCTGTGCCTTTCCTCTCCAGGCATTCTGCAGAGCTGTTAATTAAGTCACTACAGAAGTTTAACTCTGTCCTGGGCAAGAACAAGTTATGATTAAAAAAAAAAAAAAAAAAAAAAAAAAAAAAAAAAAGACCCTCAACCAGAATGATGAATCCCCTGTAGCTAGGAAACCTGAATTGTACAGCTGAGGACCAAACCTGTGTCAAGTACCTGGCTGAGGCTTCTCCCACATCTCGGGGACAGTCCTAGAGCCCCTCTCTGCATCAGCAGGAAGGAGGCATCTGGGGAGGCATGCCTCAACCTGTGACAAGGAACTAAAGGGCAAATCCTACACAGAAGAAATGCCAAACTGTGCCTAAAGACTCCAACCAGAGCGGGGCACTAGTTTCCTTGAGGAAGGCAACAATAGGTAGAAATCCAAAACAGTCTCATTGTGTAAAGGGAAACTGGACCAGGGACTGTGTCCTTAGAGTGGACCTCAGTGTTTCAGACAGACAGAAACGCTGATCACCTTGCTCTTGTCCCTGGTGCCAACACCCGTCTCTTCTAGGCAGATGTTTGCCGAGGCTGGGAGGCATTCTCGGGTCCTATGGTTCTGAAAGCTATGTGAAGGATTGAGGGCCAGCCTAGAGCTGCTGCCCACCCTGGGCACCGTGGGTCAAGGAAGTCCTGATTATATGTTTGGTTGTCTCAGAAACTGTCCACTCATCTTACCATCTAGACAAGTCACTCAAGAGCAAGGCAGAGACAAGAGCCCAGAGAGCTCACATCAATAGCTATGCTGTTAACCCAGCAGAAGGCCCGAGATGGAGGAGACCAAAACCTTCATTGATCTTGTTCCTGCTGAGGCTCCTTAGGCTAGTGTAGGAGTACGTAAGATACGTCAGAGGCCATGTGCACATGT